ACCATACCAAAGGTGCTGTATAATAGCAGCTTTGCTTAATTGTAACAGAATATTTTGCATTGGTAGTAGAGATCTGAAGACTGCAGTGTACATGTCACAAACATTTTTAATGAAGCCCTTTTGATGCATGGTGGTATGTTCTCACTCATTCCCACTAATCCAACTGTTTGGAAAGTGGCTTCAGTTAGAGGTATGCTTTATTGGTTCATCTGTTCCGAGTTTGAGCTCTAGCACAGAAAATAAAGGCCTGAACACTTTGCTCAAATTAATCACTCCAACTCCAATGCCTTCCATATTACTAGGGAGAGAAAACATATTGGGGAAGATGGCTGATGAAATGGAGAGAGATTTTTCAAATGTGGAACAGGATAAAAGAGACTGAAACTACTGGCTCTGAATTTTAATTTGCACCTTTGGAACTGGAGGCTGAGGACAGCACACAGACTAATTGTAATCAACTTTATTCCACATTAAGAAGGAATATCTCCATTGCCTCCATCAGTTCTTGTGGATTTTGTATGCCATTCTCGTTCAGTGGCCAGAGAGGAGACATTGCATAGAGAGTACTGAATGTAGGAACCCTGCTGAATTTTTAAACAGTGCAGGAACCACATTGAACACAGCATGGAAAACACCTCAAAACAATATTTGCATTGCCAGTCTGGTTGATGTGCTGTTGGACTGAGTAGAGCCTACACACATGCACCCAGACAAACAGAAGTTGAGATGCTACTGTCTTTAATTCCACTTTCAATTTTCCTCATGATTCAGGTTGGCACAAAGGAACATTGGGTATTCAGACCTGTTGTCTCTACACCTGCAGCAGCACAGTTCCCTTTGTTGCAAAGGTTTTTGTATTACTGAGAAGTTAGAATGTTTGTGAACATTCATGACATGACCACCGAACAGCTAACAGTGAAGGGGGGTAGTTAAATACTGTGTAATTGTATTTAAATATTAATTAATTCAAAACATAAAATAAAGTTAAATAAACATGTTATGCCATCTTTTTTGACATATCAGATGTACCCATGGCAGACAGGATTCTTGACAGAGGAATAATGGAAGGCATTCAACCTTTCCTTTCCTTTCCTTTCCTTTCCTTTCCTTTCCTTTCCTTTCCTTTCCATCTGAGCTTTCTTTTCTGTCTGATTCTCTGACAATTTATTGCAGATATCAGGCTGTGGGACATGAATTTGCTAAAAGTTATTCAATGGATTCCCCCAGGACATTGAGCTTTGAGTGCAACCCCAGTGGTCATTCAGTTAAAGCCAGGAGCCTAACCCATTCATATGTCACTGTATCTGCCATCTCAAGAAGGGAGAAGGGACTCAAAATCTGCAATAGGCAAGCTGAAAAAGGATGGTTTGCAGGAATGTTGCATCTCTCCTTTTAATACTCCAATCTTGGCAATTAAGAAACCAACAAAGGGAGGATGAGCCAGTCAAGTAGAAACTAGTGCAACACCTGCAAGCTGTCAATGAGAGGATGGAGTTGGTCTCTCCAGTGGTGCCAGACCCCTTCCTATTTGGATTCATCATAGTTGCCTTATTAATGATTTCTTGCTGTTGTATCCAGTGTATCCCAAATCTTAACACCATGTGCTTCACCTGGTCTCAACTGGATGAACCCACAGCAAAACAATATTATGTGGCTCTGCGATGACAATACCAAATGGGCAAGTCACCCATATGGTGCTAATAAAGGAAATGCCTTCATAAGCCAAAGTGGGGATTGTGGAACATGAACTTGTTCAAACTTATTCAGTGGATTTCCCCCAGGACCTCGTGTACCAATTCTCCTGGCTGTTAGGCCTTATCCTTAAACACATTCCATTCTGCTCCTTGTTAGCTAAGCGTGTCCCTGTGGATGCAACTCGGTTTACACTGACTTTAGTTTCTTTTTCATGTACAATGGCAAATACCATCCAATGGTATAGCTCTAAGGTGCTTTCCTGATTCATGTGTATAAAAGAGGTACACTCCCTGGCTACTACAAAGTGTTTGGCTTTTGTTCCCTTCACCTGGAATAAAGTTTGTTCCTGTTGCTGAGAAGAAACGTTGTCCGCTGTGTCCTGTTGGAATGAGCAAACCAGAAATGCACTCTCGCCTTTCGCAACAAGCCTATATTTTCAGTGGCTGAAAAGAAAACAAAGTTTGCCTTGTTTTGCCAGTACATGACTGAGAACTGTATGAGATAATTGATCTGTTGCTTATTTGTAGCTTTGTCTTGAAAACTTAAAAACAAACAAACTTTTTCCTATTTCTAGACTGACCATTTCTGGACTATAGATAAGACTATATGTGGGATGTCCTTCCAGCAGATTGATCATATAATGGCTTACCTATCCATTTCTATATGACTGCAGTAGAAATAGTATTGTGCTGGATGTCACAAAAATTGCAGTTCTAGAATTCAGTAGTGTAGAGGCCCTACTGTTTACACAGCTTCCATAGAAAATCTCCCAGCATAAATACTTGTGGTGCACTTCAGAATAACATTTTTGTATTATTTAAGCAAAACTCATGTAGTCATCTTGGAGCCACATGCTTGACTTTATCTGAAGTCAAGTGGCTTTAACAGAAATCAGAATCTCATAGAAGCTGACTTTTCAGAGAGGAAGTCTCTTGTGCTTTAAAATTTGAATGGTTTACATCAAGCTGAACCACTGCAGGGAATCAGCTTCTGGGTTTTCCTTCATCTTGTTGATAGTATAAGCACTGATCTTTCTAAGTGATCCCTGCTAGGGTCTCATGTGTTTTGTTGAGACAATCTTTCTCCCACTCCAGTTTTGTCAATGATAAACTCATTACATAGCATAGATTTTTTAATGATTTAATCTCCCATCATTTTCCTAGAGAGGAATAATCCACTTTTCATACAAAACTGCCATGCATGGCCATGTACTCATTGCGAGATGTGTGGTTCTTCGTCGTGGCCTCTGTGCATCACACATATGGGTTCTGCGCCTGCGCAGTGCCTTTGGCCGGAAGATTAACAGCTAACGGTTTTTTGGCGGGGACTCTGCTCCCCCTCCCCCCTAGCAGTATATAAGGAGCAGAGTGACCGCCATTTTCAGTCTTTGCGACCGCCGTTCGCTGTGCCTCGTGCCGCTTCGCTCTCGCTAAGATTTATCACTTACCTCGTTCCTTGTTCGAAAATCTTGCCCTTTCTCTTACAAGTTGTATTCCTTGCTCTTGTTGTTACTACTTCACTTATATTTCTTAACGTGCACTATTTTTTCTTCTTCTTATCGTTCCTAAAAAAAAAAAAAATTACTTTCCCGCTTTACTATCTTCTTCTCTTCAAATTTCTACGATGGCGCAAAGGGCGGCGTTCCGCAAATGCGGAAAATGCGGCTCGAAAATGCCCGCAGCAGATCCGCATGATCTGTGCCTCCTTTGTTTAAGGGAGGGGCACAGAACCGATAAGTGCAGCCATTGTTTGGCCTTCTCAAAACAGGCGAGGAAAAAGAGAGAGAACTGCCTTCGAAAACTCCTATGGGATCAGGCCCTTCTCCAATCTGACCGCCTGGTGGCTAAGTCCACTGTTGTGGCCCCACCCGAAGGCCGTCCAACTTCGGCTGAGTTGCCGCAATGCCCGGCCTCCTCCATTGCTCCGCCTTTACGCTCCTCTCAGGAAGGCGCACATGCTATGGCCGACCAGCCTGTTTCCCTGCCGAGGAAACAAAAGGAGAAAAGAAAGCACGGTGATTCAGATAAACACCCTGTGCTTAAGAGGGCCAAGAAGGACAAGACGAGCAAACCGGCTAAAAAGCCGAGGAACCCTGAGCAGGCAAAACAATGCCATTCAGACTCAGTCTCGTCTTTGATCCCGATACCGGTCTCGGAACCGACTCCCTCGGTACCGAACATCCAGGAGGCTATGAGGGTCACCCCACCGGCTTCACCACGCTGGCTGGCTGTCGAACCCGTCATGGAATCGAGGAGGGGCTCCATCTCTGATGGGGAAATAAGAGACTCTCCACCCAGAGCTCGATCACCAACCCCAATGCCGTTGGTACAGATGGATACTGATATTGCCATCTCCCCTCCAAAAAGCCGTAGGAGCCGTTCCTCGGATGCGAGATCTGACGATTGGTATCAATCCAGATACTCCTCCGCTCCGAGACGAGCAGAGTACGACTCTGCAGGCTGTTTCCCAACCAGGGAACGATCCTCGCCACCAGCCCACCGGGAGCGTTTCCATTCGACTCCCAGAGATGCCCCGAATGCCCCATCTAGAGAACGTGGCAGATCGGGGTCATCGGCTGAATCTTCCTCCAATGTGTCCCCCCCTTACTGGATGGAATCTGAAGAGTCTGAGGCTGATTCAACCTCACCGGATGCGGCAGTTACGTCACAGGGACCGGGATCACCTGATGAACCCTATATGTCATTCAACGATCTCATGGCCAGATTAGTGAGATCGCTTGATATACAAACCCATCACCAGCCGGGACCGAGCACGGCCCGCTTTCATGATGTTGTTAGAGGCGAGCTATCCACATCCATTGCCTTGCCGCTTATTACAACTTTAAGACAGGCAATGACCCAACCATGGGACCTCCCAGCTCAGCCGCAACCGACTTCACGGAAATATGAGTCCATGTATCGGGTGCGAGAGGAAGACATCCCGTTTCTTCTCCGCCACCCAAAACCAAATTCGGTTGTGGTGGAATCATCGCAGGGTCGGGAGGCCCGCGGATATACCTCGCCTAGAGATAAGGAGGGCAGAAAGGTTGATTCCCTTGCCCGTCGAGTCTACGCAGCATCGGGCCTAGGATTAAGGATCTCTAATTATGAGGCCACCCTGGCGCGTTACCAATATTTTTTGATGCAACGCCTAGATGCCATCATAGATACGATGCCAGGAAACCAAGGTGAACTTGCAAAAACCTTTGTTAAAGAAGCGATGCAAGTCGCTGTGCAACAGCTTTCCACTGCAAGGCACCACGTAGACTCGGATTCGAGGTCGCTGGTCGGGGCCATTTCCCTCCGCAGACACGCCTGGTTGCGTAATTGCAACTTCCCTGAAGAAATGAAGCGGAGAATTGAAGAAATGCCGTTCGACGGATCCGGTCTCTTCCACGCAAGAACGGACAGTAAACTGAAGAAGAGTCACGAGTCCCGCATGACCGCTCGTCGTATGGAGCTAAAATCTTTACCTAGACGTGAGTGGTCATGGTCACGCCCGCAATACCGTTCGCAATTTCCACTTCGGCAACAACAACAGCAACAACGTCACCAGCGCCGCAGGCAGCAACCACCCCAACGCTTCCAACAGGGCCGCCGTAGATTTGCTACGGACAGGCGACATCGTTGGCATTATGAGCGAACCGTTCCTCTCCTCCCATCTTTACCCTTCCCCCTCTCATTTGGGGATCGACTGAAGAGTCGACTCTCCATTTGAGAGTCAATCACATCTGATGGATGGGTATTATCTATCATCCAGCACGGATATGGAATCGAATTCGATGTTGTGCCATCTCCGAGTCCTATTCGATATACTACGCCTTCTTTGGTGCTTTTACACGAGATTCAACAACTTCTCGTTAAGGGAGCTATTCGTCGCCTCTCGTTATCGGAAGGACTCCATGGATTCTATTCCAGATACTTTACGGTTCCGAAACGTGATGGAGGTCTTAGACCAATACTGGACTTGAGAGCTCTTAATAAATTCATTACACCAAAGAAGTTTCGGATGACCACGCTTCAAAGTATTCTTCCGCTGCTGGGGAGAGGGGATTGGTTCGCTTCATTAGATCTAAAGGACGCTTATTTCCATATTTCAATACACCCAAGTTATAGGCGTTTCCTACGCTTTGCGGTAGACCAGAAAGTTTATGAATTCAACGTTCTACCATTTGGATTGGCCACGGCACCAAGGGTTTTCACGAAGTGTATGGCCCCTGTGTGTGCACACCTCCGGCTGTGCGGGATTCGAATTTACCCGTACCTTGACGATTGGTTGCTTGTTGCCGATACGGAAGCTGCACTGGCGTCTGCTATTGAACTTACATGCGCTCTGTTGCACGACCTTGGACTTTGCATTAACCGACGGAAATCTTCCTTTGTCCCTACGCAGGTGATCGATTTTATCGGAGCTCGACTGGATTCGAGGTCGGCAAGAGCCTTCCTTCCTCGAGACAGACGATATGCGATCGTTCATCGCATTGCCCGAATTCGGCAAGCAAGAACAGTTTCCGCCCGATCTATTCAAAGCCTTTTGGGGCACATGTCTGCTGCCATCGCTGTGGTCCCTCATGCCAAACTACGGCTACGCCCCCTTCAACTGTTATTCAACAAACTGTTTCGACCACAAATAGACCCTCCTACCAAACGAATCCGACTACCGGATTCAGTTCTCCACTCCCTGCTATGGTGGACGGACTCAGCCAATTTAACCGTCGGCGTTCCATTTCAACCTCGGTACCCCACAGTAACCCTAGGTACCGATGCGTCACTGCTGGGATGGGGGGCCACCTGCTCCAATCTAAGTACCCAAGGGAGATGGAGCCATCGGGACGGCAGGAATCATATCAACTTTCTGGAACTCCTTGCCGTTTTCAAAGCACTGCAAGCTTTCGAGGATCTGCTCCTCCATCAGATCGTTCAGGTGACCTCCGACAATGTGGCGACGGTCTTTTATTTAAACAAACAAGGAGGAACCCGATCCCGGAAGCTAGCACGTCTCGCCATGCAGATTTGGGACTGGTGTATACCCAGAGGTATCACTATTCTAGCAGTTCACCTTGCGGGCACCGACAACACGGAAGCCGATCTTCTGAGCAGACACATGTCACGCTCCCACGAATGGGAGTTAGACCGTCGGGTTCGAAACAGGTTATTTCACCGATGGGGTCGACCAGACATCGACCTGTTTGCCACTCAAGGGAACAGAGTGTGCAGGACCTATTGCTCCAGAGCAGGAGTGGGTCAGGACTCCCTGGGTGACGCTTTCATGATTCCATGGACAGGAGTGATTTTTTACGCTTTTCCCCCGATCCCACTTATCATGAGAGTGCTTGCAAAGATTATTCACGAAGGAGCTACAGGAATACTGATCACTCCATGGTGGCCACGACAGCCGTGGTTCCCAACTCTCCTTCAAGTTTCCAGGGAGGATTTTCTTCAACTCCCTCTTCTCCCGTATCTAATCACCCAGAAGGAAGGCACAGTTCGTCACCCAGACTTGCAATCCCTGAAACTGACCGCATGGCGGATACGGTGACCCGGGGCGATGCATCGATATCGGCACCGCCTACTATTCCGACTACGCATGCCCAGCAGAGCCTGCACCCAGATCTGCAGTATATTCTTGAATCTGCTCTACGACCATCTACCAGGAAGTCGTACGCAGCAAAATGGAAAAGATTTTCTAACTTCGCCAATGTACACTCTTTTCCAGCCTCCTCAGCCTCCGTCTCACAGATACTTCAGTTCCTTTTTGAACTGCATCAGTCTGGACTTAAACCTTCATCTATAAAGGTTTACATAGCAGCGCTCTCCCACTACAGAGGAGCTATACATGGTTTCTCCCTTTTTACTCAACCTCTAATAAAAAGATTTTTGAGAGGCTTAAATAATCTGAATCCCACTGTAAGATCCCTAATGCCTACATGGAGTCTCTCGGTGGTTCTACATGCACTAACTCGATCACCGTTCGAGCCCATGGCGACAATTGATTTACGCCTTGTTTCTTGGAAGACAGCCTTCCTCGTGGCAGTGACTTCAGCACGTAGATCCTCTGAACTATGCGCTCTTCGAGTGGATCCCCCTTTTCTAAATTTTCACAAGGAAAAGGTGGTTCTTCGCATGGATCCGTCTTTTTTGCCGAAGGTTGCTACCTCTTTCCATATGCAACAGGAAATTGTGTTACCGGCGTTTTTTCCGGTCCCATTGAATCCAATAGAAAGATCTTTACATATGCTGGACGTTCGCCGCTGCTTAGCCTTCTATAGATCCAGGACTGAATCCTTTCGGCATTCAAATAGACTCTTTGTGAAGTATTCGGAGCGCGACAGGGGTTCTCCAGTTACCTCTCAGCGCCTTTCGAAATGGATAGTTAATACAATTGTCCTAGCTTATCAGCTCGCCAAGTTGGATTTACCGTCTACTCCAACAGGCCACTCCACAAGAGCTGTCGCTGCCTCTTCAGCCTTTGCATCGGGAGTTCCGATAGAGGACGTGTGCAAGGCGGCCATTTGGTCTACCCCGTGCGCCTTTGCCAAACACTATCGGCTAGATGTCCGTGCCAGACAGGATTGCTCTTTTGGCAGAGCTGTACTTTCATCTGTCCTTCGATAATGACACCTCCCTCCTCCGGTTGGGGTAAGCTTGTTATTCTACCCATATGTGTGATGCACAGAGGCCACGACGAAGAAAAGCAGGTTGCTTACCTGTAACTGATGTTCTTCGAGTGGCCATCTGTGCAGTCACACAACCCACCCTCCGACCCCTCTTGGTGTCATGGGTGGTTCGATTATTTTTACTTAAATATTATAATCTCTCCTATAGCTCGTACCGCTGTTTTTACCCTTCTTGTACTAATGTGCAATGTTATAAGGAACCGAACGTCGGTCTTTCAAAGACTGAAAATGGCGGTCACTCTGCTCCTTATATACTGCTAGGGGGGAGGGGGAGCAGAGTCCCTGCCAAAAAACCGTTAGCTGTTAATCTTCCGGCCAAAGGCACTGCGCAGGCGCAGAACCCATATGTGTGACTGCACAGATGGCCACTCGAAGAACATCAGTTACAGGTAAGCAACCTGCTTTTTTCATTTACTCTCATTATTAATAATGCACTTTAAAGAATGTTTTAGATAAAAAGAAGGGTGAGGACTCAGGAAGCATGGCAAGGTAGCAAGTTCTATTTATATTGTGGGTCTTATTAGGTGTGTTGCAGGAGACATATAATTAATAAATAAAAAGTACTTGTAGTCAATGATTGGGTAGAATAAAATTTAAAAAAGGAAACATTCATGGATTAGATGTTGATCACCAGATATACTCAACAGCAACTTTCACTGGCACAAACCAACATGGCCAATGGTCAGGGATGATAGGAGTTATAAGCCGGGGAAGGCGGAACACTCTAGGACATTGATATGGGTCTCAAGATCCTATTCAGATAAATCTTTATAGAGAAAGTGGTCTTGGACTCTGCTAAAAGGTCTGTTCCAACTGGAAGTATTTGTAGCACACCAACAGAAGCTCAAGGATGCCTCACCTGGCCTCCAAAGCATTATTTGACCCCATCTTGAGCCTGGTCCCATTTCTCCTCTCTTGTCCCCTTGTTCTCTAGAACAAGAGGCCAAGTGAACCCAGAGGGACACCCAGAATCACTGGAGGAATAGCCAACTGGCTGCCTGAAGTCTCTGCAGCCAGGAAAAAGGATCTTCATCAGCAGGAGAGAGCTCCACAGGAGAAAGGATCTTCCCAGAAGGAGGGTAAAAACCCGGTTGTGAGCAATGAACTAGCACAGAACCAGGAAGAGAAAGAATAGGCAGGGAAAGCCCTTACTCTCCTCAAGACCCTCCCTGGGTTAATTGAACCAAAAAAGAGTTGTGGCTTTTACATCTTGCTCTACAGTTCTGATTTGTAATAATGCCTTCTAAACCAAGTGTAGGCCATGTACAGTCAGGATGTTACTGGTCATATAGCCAGGATGGAATAGCCCACTTGTTAACACATGCAAACTGTAGGGTAGTTTTTTCTATCGGGCCTGAGTGGCTCACATACAATTTCCAGGGCAACGTAATTTAAACCTCCAAACAGTTTCAGCCTCTGTTATCTCAGGGAATGCCTTCTTGTCATGTATAAATTACTCTTGCCATAAGCTACAGTTCTTGAATAGGGCTCTGTTCTGAGTGCCAGTGCTTTGGTTGGCATGACATAACAGATGTGGGGCCCTTTCAGTAGCAGCATCCTCATTATGCAAGCCTTCGGAATTGTGGTTTTCTTTATTTTGAACCTTTCAAGGTCTGCCTGTGGTTTTCTTGGGAAGTTTACTTCTGCTATGAGTTTCATATTACTCTTCTGATTTTATTTATATATATTTCATTGATGTTATAAATACTGAACATCATTCTAAGTATATTTCTGCACCATGTTGGGCATAATTATTTTGAACAAAAATAAATTCAATAATAATAATCAACCTTTAAATGAATTAATTTCTGTGAGAGCCTATATTTTTACTTAAAAAGGGAGGTGACTTCTCCCAACATTCTCCAGTGCTGTGTGCCACGCCATTCCCAAAAGTATATCTAACCCCCAAGGAGCATATTTTGGAAGGCACACAGGCCTGTAGAGGAACAAGAGAAGCAGACAAATATAAACATGAACTTTTTCTTTTATAGGATAAAAATTATGATCCAGCCCTCTACTTTAAATGGCAAAAACTTGAGCCATTTTGACATTTACCAGAAAAGCTTAATGTTGTTCCTGGCCTAGCAGGAAATATTTGAAATCATTGCACTATGAGCCTGCATTTTTAACATCCATGACATGGCTCTTTATTCACCTGTACATGACAGATATTAGAATAGCAGCCATTTAATATGAAAGGTGGAATCATATGCAGTTTTGGGCAGATCCAAGTCCTGCAGTTCCTGGTACTTTCCAGCAACCATAACTGGACGTTGAAGTGCTTCTGTCTGCCTAAAAATGCATCTCATTGCTCCTTGCTGGCTTTGGCACTTATTAGTGCGTGTTAAAACTTCCTTATCTTTTTAAGGGGGGAATTAACATTTATCAGAAAATGTTAGCACTTGGCAAACTTAATGGTATTTAACAACTTAATGATATTTACTGTGACATACTGAAACCATTTTATTTTTGTGGCGTTGGTATGAGGTTAGGCTGAGAGAAAGATCCAGCTCCAAAGCAGTGCAGTTTTCATTCTGCCTTGAGGTGATGCTGGGCAGGGGTCTTCCATGCATATCCTGGTACCACAATCTAGTCAACATATTTTTTTACATTTGATTTAATCATTCTTCCTTAAATATAATTCTTGCTTGTATCTTCAGTTGTGTATTCTGTAAGAGAGAACTATCTTCTATATAACACTGTATTCTCATGTAAAGAAGCATGCTATATGATCTATGAAGAAAATAACAAATGGTCTTAGGCTGTTCTTGAAAATGCAAGAAGATCCATGAGGGGGGTCCCACTCAAAACTTCGTATTTTCTACAAGTTGGACCAGCACTTTGGATGCTTTAGGGCAGCCATCACTGCCTTAGCACCCTTTCTGTTTTGGAAAGCTCCGGGTCACAGCTTTCCTGGCCACTGGATATGACCACCAGGGCTGAAATTCAGAAAATAAAATAAGCCAGGGTGGCTTATTTTATACTGTATTTTTGTATTTCTAATTTAATATTTATATTTTTAATTTATATTATAATTAAATATTTATATTTTTAATTTATATTATAATTATTTTACTTAGTGTTGTAAGCCGCCCCGAGGCTTCGGCGAATGGGGCGGCATAAAAATGTAAAAAAAAATGAAGGCAATGCCATAGGTTGAGCATTGCCATAAGGCTGCCATAAGGAACTGATCTGAATTCACACTTTCCATCACAGAACACTGGAGTGTTCAGAAATGGGAAATTTTAGTTAAACTCCTTGTTATATTCCGAAACCAAGATCCATTTAAATTTATTCACTCTAAAGCATGGAAGGAACTAACACAGCAAATTCATTAAACACTTTTTATGTCAGCAGTGTGACTTATTTCAGTGTCATAAAGGCTAACACAATTTAAGAAGAAATCCAAGAGGTGGCATGTATCACTGGACAAAAATATCTATATATATTTAGGTTGTATCCCTGGAGTAAAACATATAACAACTTTTATATAGTCAAAGATAAGTATCCTGCAGCAGTGAGGTGCTCAGGGAGTTATTTGTGCTCCCCAAATCAATTGGATTGTATTTCTCAATTGGATTGTATTTGCTCCTGGCTTCATGATTCCAGGAGGATGCTTTGGGAACTAGCAGAATCCTACACTCCATGCAGAAGGTTTGGGCATCTATTAGAGGTGCTCTGGCAGCAGCATTAGAGCGCTGTATGCTCATCTGAATGTTACAACTGTTCTGGATTAAATGGGAAAAGAGAGGTTGGTTGAGCATGTACAGCCCCCTGTCCCCAGAACAACTTTAAATGCGGTCCTTGGGGCCGAAAAGCATTGTATAGCCCTGAAATAGTAGTAGCCATCTCTTTTAGGGGGGTTGTCTACATTGACAGAAGACGTACTGCTTTCATCACTGTTTGAAAAGCCATATAGAGTAATCC